TAATCCTCTTTCTCTCTCTCTCTGTCCAGATCTCTGTTTAAACAAATAATAATTCCTCTCTTCTAAACTTATCCAAATTAGATCTATGTGATCCTTCACAAAAAGTTCCCAATCCACCAACTTCTCTAACTTGCTGTTTAAATGTGACTTTGAATCTTCTGAGTTAATACATAGTTCTCTACAAAACACCTATTCACGAAAAAAGACACAAATCAATGTAGTATTAGTTCTGGGAATTATTAACACTTGGAACCACTTGGAAGAATGGGTTTCTTTATCATTATTTTATAAATGAGGACATTGAGTGTCAGAGAAACCAAGTATTTCGCAAATAGTTAGGAAGCAATGAAGTCAGGACATTTCAGTTTATCCTCAGAGACTATATGTTTTCCTCATGTTCCGCATGGTCTCTATATTTGAATATGAAATTTACACGTGTGTTACATGTAACTAATGTTTTTCTTAGTCTACTTTCTGCAGCTATAACAGAATGCCTGAAACTGGGTAATTTATAAAAAGCATAGCTTTCTTTGGCTTATGGTTCTGGAGGCTGGGAAGTCCAAGAAAACAGTACTGCCAACTGGTGAGCTTCTGTGTTGTGCCATCAAAAGATAGACGGCGAAAATTCAAGAGAGGGCAGAAGAAAGCAAAAGAGGGCCAAACTTGTTTTATAACTAACCTACTGCTGCGATAATGACATTAATATACTTGTGAGGGCCTACTTACCTTCTTCAACCTTCACCTCCCAACATAGCTATCCTGGGGTTTCCAGCACATGACCTTTAGGGAACAAATTCAGACCATAGCAGTATTGTTACCTCCAGTGGCAGAACTTTGTGACTGAGTCACATACTTTATATTTTAAAAAGTAGTTTTTTTGTATATGTCCCTTAAGGTTTTTATGAGGACTTCTTTGAAGAATAAAAATGTTCTTGAAGGAACTGTGTAGACCATAAAGCACAATAGTACTTTTTAGTTATTATTAATATATGGTTTTGCCTAAAAGTATCGCAACAGATGGGCATAAATTAAAAGTTTTAAAGTAGGAGCAGCCCAGGTGACATCTAAGCAGATCTCATTTAAGGGTAACAACCCTATCTAAGTAGTGAATGAGGCTCAAGCTGAACTGGCATTTCCATAAGCTGAAAAATGATGGAGATTGAATAGTCAATTCTACAACATTTGAGAGAATAAGACACTGGCTCTGGGCCTATGCTTTCTGTGAGATCTGTGGATCTCACATCCTAAGTAAGCAATTATCAGGATGAACAAGAAACTGGACTAAGGATGTCCTTTTCCTTAGCCCGAAGTGACTGAAACTCAGAAAGTGCTAACATTATTTCTTAAAAGATCTTGGCATTTCCCTGACAATGTTATTGTGCCTCTCAGGACAGGTGGAGACTAAAAAGCAGGATGTTGTTGCAATAGCAACATCTGCTGGCTCTTTGGTAGAATTACACAAACTAGTTCCCAGATTTCCCCCCTCCCCAACTCCCCCCAAGGAACTATTTTCTTTAAATGAATTGGTGGATTTTTATTTATATGCTATACTGTAAGCTAAAGAAAGTGCTTAGATAGTGAAGATATGAGGTGTATACATTGGGAGAATCAGTGGGATACCAAAAAAAATTAAAGGAATGATTATTGGTTCAGAACAAAGACTCACAAATGTTTCTTACAGGCACAAAAAGTAAACCAACAAAGTTTAGGACCCAAAGACCATCAGGGAGATAAAAAAATGAATGACTATGTAAAAATTGGAACTTTGTAATGAAAATAATGAATGGGATATACACAGAACTTCTAATAATCAGAATAAACATGCAGTGCTACTCCAGTTACCTGCCACCTTTACCTGAAGCTTCCAGAAATCCACTCATTCATTCAACAAATATGCATTGAGCTGTGTGCCACTCTGTGCCAAGATTTATTCCATGCACCAGAAATTCTACCGTGAAAGAAACAAGTCCTTACCCTAAAGGATCTTACCTGCTGGGAAGAGATGGGTGGCAGTGTCAGCAAGGGAAAGAAAAGCAAATAAGTGAACACATATCAGTGCCCCTATCATACCCTTCCTGTCAAGTGACAGGAAGATAAATAAAGACAAGGAGCTAGATTAATTGGGAGGGATATTGATTTGCATAGGTAATTAGGAAATCTCTCTCTAATGAGGGGCCTCTGAGCAGAGATGTGAAATAGAGGGGTAAGAGTGAGTCATGCAGTAGGGGTGAGTGTTCTAGGCTAGGAAATAACAGAACACAGACCCGAAAGCTTGGCTGATTTATTGACTATCAAGAAGCTCCTAGAGTGAACTGAATGAAAGGAGTGTCAGGGGTGGGAGAGGATTGACCAGAGGAGCAGACTCCCTGGGGTTTTCAGTTCTGGGTCAGAAATGGGTCTTTCCTCTGGGAGAGAATGGAATCCATCAAAAGCATTGAGATGCGGAAGAAATGCAATGAGAAGGAAAGTTGTTGGCCACAGAGAAGAGCAGTTGTTGGCTATGGGGATACATTCAGCCTCCTTGCCGGTGAGCGGAAGAACATCTCACACTTCTATCCTCCCAGCTACAGTGGTCCTGTAGCTGGCCTCGAATCCCGACCATTTATCCCAAATGATCTCTCTCTTGTGAAACTTGGTTGAAAGACTAATGGGCATAATTTTCAATTGATGTGTTATGATTCATGTATAGATTTTAATAAAGTTAACTTGGATCCATCCTTGACTCTGAATTGTAATGTACATTACTATCTCAATAGGACCAGTCTGATCTCTGCGCTTTTCATAGGAACGTACACTGAATATTTTCATACTTCCAATGTATTGTTATGGCTTGGTATGAGGTGTCCCCCCAAAGCTCCTGTGCTAATGCAGGAATGTTCAGAGGTTAGATGATTAGATATGGAGCTGTATGTAACCTAATCAGCCATCTTAGTTTGAATGGACTGATGGTAGGCAGGCAGGGGCATAGCTGGAGGATGTGGGTTACTGGGGGCATGTCTATGGAAAGATTTGTCTTCTCTGCTGCCCCTTTCCTTTTCTTCATCTGTTCCCTGGCATCTATGAGGTGAGACACATGCCTCTGTCATACCCTTCTGCCATGATGTTTTGCCTCACCTTGGGCTCAGAACAATGGAGTCAACCCACCAGAGACTACATCTCTGACAGCATAAGCCAAAATAAACTTTGGCTCCTCTAAGTTGTTCTTGTTAAGTATTTTTGTCACAGTGACACAAAACTGACTAGCATACCTATGAAAACAAAGAACAATACAGCACGGACCAAGGCAGGGTGTGAACTAGTACAACATGTAGAAGTGTGGAAGATACAGCATCAACAGGGAATGGAAGAAATAGTTCAGGCTGTACCAGTCTTTTCCATTAATTCCATGCATGTCAATGCCTTTCAGGCATTTTATGCTCCATATAACTAAAACTGACCTCATGAGATCTCCCAACATCCAACCCTGCTCTTCCTGTGTAATCTCTATTTCAGTAAGTGATGCCATCCCTTACCCAGTTGCATAGGTTCAAAAACTTGAAGTCATTCTGACATCTCTTGTCTATACCCTTCACTAAAAATCAATTGCAAAGTGTTATTAATTATTCTATAAATTATTTCATCTACTTTGATCCAGACCCTTTTCCATCACCAAGGTACAAGCCACCACTATTACTCATCTGAACTACTACGATTGATGCATGTTTGGTTACTTCTTTGTCCTCTCAACCCACGTTTCACCCATTAAGGTGTAAAGTTCTAGCCTTTAGAAAGGAAATAAATGAAGTACTAGGCATAGAAGAAATAATAATTAGCAAATATTAAACAAATGTAGAAACTCCTGCATCCAACCTTGAGTCTTGCATAGATAACAAAATCTTGAATTTTGCATGTTAATTGCTTTTTTAATAAAAGAACAATAATATAAAAACTTTTAAATTGTAATATGAAAAATACCATTAACTTTGGAATCATTTTAATAACAACTGCTAAAAGAGAAAATCCACTATTAAACTGCATATTTAGGTTTTGATTAGCTGAGGAGTCTATTGCTTTAATAATCAGAGGTATTCTTCTACCTTGATGGGGTGCTGAAGCATGTAGGACTCACTGGGAAATAAGAAAATTAAGTGCCATATGTTGCAAATACACTGTAGGACCAGCTGTTTCCTCCTATCTTTTATCTCCACTAACATGGATGTGTCTGCTTTTTCTATCCCTTGTTAAATATAAACTAGATGATGTGATGAGATAAAACATCCCAGTGCTCTCAGTGTTATTTTCAACTGACTTAATCCTTAAATTTGCTATTTTGAAAATCTCCCCACCAGATTTCCACGTGGAAGTAAAATTACCATGACTTTAAAGAAAACTAGAAAGCAAGACTTGAAAGTCATTATTATTCTACAGACCCATGTTGGGGTTTACATGATCCTCATTTTCTTTCTTGAAATACAGCGTTTGATACAAAAAATATAAAAATAAAAAAATAAAAATTCATTGCAGTAGAACCTAAATAGGAACTCACCACAAAGAAATAACTAAAGTGTGTCAAAATTTGGGAGCTGCATGTAAAGCAGGAATTAATGGGAAATTTAGAAATTTACATGCTTACATTGGAAGAGAAGAAATAAAACCAATGACTTAAGGTTCCATTTCACAAAGCCAGAGAAAAGAGAGCAAAATAAATAGAAGAAAGTAATAAAGATATGGAAGAAATTAAAACACTAAAAATCAGACAATAAAGAGAATTAACTGTTTCCAGAAAAAGATGAACAAGATTCATAAAACCCTAGCTATCCTTGAGCTCAAAAGAGGGAATATAAATCAGTTCAGAAAAGAAAAAAAGAAAAACTTATTGCCACAGATCCTACAAATATGTAAAGAAGACTATGAGCCATTTTAGTCCAGCAAATTGACATTTTAGATGAAATGGAAAATTTTTTCTTCAACATTGATTTTGCTATTATTGCTGTATTTAAAAAAAAAGAAAAAAAAACTCACCCCCAAAGCTCAGTGGCATAAAACAATTGTTTCATCTTTGTGAAATTTTCCAGGTCAGGGCTTCAGACAGAGCACAATAGGGATGGTTTTTCTCTGTTCCGTGATGTCTGGAGCCTCAGCAGGGTGGACTGAAAAACGAGGAACTCAAAAGTCAGAGCCTAGAATTATCTGCAAGTGTCTTTACTGGCACCTGACAGGTGAATTCTCTGATTAGTCCCTCAAGTTAACTGAGCACCTGGGCATCTCCTCTGTGTGGTCTGTGCTTCCTCAGAGAACATCAGCTTAGAGCACCAGGGTTTCATATATGGATGCCCAGGCCTGCTAAGGTCAGTGTCCTACACAGAGACAGAAACTGTGACACTTTTTCTAGTCCAGGCTCAAAGGTGTATACCACTTCTACTGTGTTCTACTATATTTGTCAACAGCCAATTTACTTTGAATTTGCTCTTTGTCCTAAGGCCTGTTGTTACTTTGAGAACACTTTGTTGTTAGAAACAAACAAAACTCCAGAACTCTTCTGAACACTGTACATTTCTTCCAAATTGTACTTAAAAAGTCTCTCCCTTTCATTGTTATAGGTGGTGTTACCACAACCAGCAGTTTTGCAACCTTTCTAGCGCTTTACAACAAAGACCTTCTTCCCTCCCACTTCCAATAACACTTCTCCTGTTCTTCCAGGTGTCATTAACTCCCTCCCCAAGTGTCTTCAGTTTTCTCTGATAGTGCCCTCGAGGCCCTTCGAGCCCCTAACTTGGCCAGCTTCAAAGCCATGTTTTTGTCATGGTAGCTCCTAACTTTCAGTTCCAAGTTTGGCTATGAATTTTTATTCCATAACCATCCCAAGGCTTACTGTTCTAGTTGTTTCATTTACTTAAAACTAGGATAGGGATTCACACAAAGCATAAAAAGGATAAAAGAATGACATCTTCCATGATGTCTAAGGCCTCAGCTGGGAAGACCAAAACCTTCAGAATTCTTAATGACTGAGTCCTGGAATCATCTGGAGGGATATTTATTCATGTGTCCCCTGGTTACTATGGAAGGTTGGCTGGGTGTCACTGATGCTGTCAGGAAGAGCATCTGCACATGGATCACAGAATAGATGTTATCTTGATAATGAAGGGCCTTGCCAAACTGGACTCCAAAGTGATTTTATGCTACCTCCAAGAGTGAGCACAGATTATTCCACTATCTCATCCACATTTGATGTCAATCTTTATTTTAGTTTAGGCATTCCAGTGGGTACAAAATATTAAAACACTGATTTTGATTCGCATGTCTTTGATGACTGATGATGCTGGGCAACATCTTATATGATTATTTGGAATCTATGTCTTCATTTGTGAGGTGCTGATTCAAGTCTGACCCTTTTCAAAAACTGGATTGTCTTTATTATTGAACTGTAGGAGAGACAGTTATGCTAGCATACAAATTGCCAATATTTTTTTCCTGATATTTTATTTTAACCTCCTTCCATTTGCTTGTCCTATATCTCTTCTTCATGTTATCTTTTTAGAAGAGTCATAGAGCCATTTTTAGCTCCTGTTATTATTGAAAAATACTCCCTCATAATTTTGTTACTGTATTCCTTAATGAAATTCCAATTCTATATTACATTATTAATCTACTTTTAACTGATAATTCTTCCCCTTTGAGTTTTGTTGACAAATGCTTTTTTTCCATAATTACATGTGGTTTCTATGCTAGTTTCTAACTAGATTTTCCCTAATCTTTATTGGGAATACTTGTCTAATATCTGTTGAGGTATCTGTGGGAAGGAATAGGAGGGAATTAGTTGCTAAATTCGGAGCAAAGATGAGATTTTTTAAAAATAAAATATTATCATATTATTGTTTTTAACCTTAGAATAATGTCTCAATTTTGTTGTCATGGAAACTATTGGTCTTCAAATGAAGGCCAGGATTAAATTCCTTTATCTTTCTCTACGGAAATAGAACAGTTCTTCCTCTCCCTTCTCCTTCCTTAACTCCATTTCTCTTTGGGCCATCTTCCTGGGGCAGACATTTAGGATATCTGAAGCAATAAAGGCATCTCCTTGTGGTATTTTCCCTTCACTTCAAATTTCCCCATAGGTCTGATATGTGGACTTTGGGTGACAGGGAACTCCTTTTTTTTTTCTGTAACCTTTTCAAACCTGCAGATATATCACTTCAATTTGAGTATTAATGGATGAGTTTTTTCAGATTTATGACACATATTCTATCTTCACCAAGCACTGGGGAGGTCAGGGTTAACTGTCAGTGCCCAACTCTGTATTGTCCAAATGTACCACCTGTAATAGGTGTTCTTCACACTTTGTATTTTGGAGTCACAGAAAGAAAAGAGGAGTTCCTTTACCTTTTTTTTAGAAAAAAAAAAACTGGTAATTCTGTGATTAAAAGACTATTACTACATGGATCATGTTATGAAAACTTGTGGAATTTTATGTGAAAACTTGGAAATTCAGTGTAAATATAATTTTCAGAATATGTCATCATTTTTGAAAAATCTTTCTGTTACATAATTGTCAGAATTTTTAGTTATACTAAAAGATGTCCAGCATGGTCTCTTGGTTTTCATACACTGTACGGACTCAGAGATCAATGAAGCAAAAGGACATAGCAGAATATGGAGTTGCAGACAGCTCACTTTATTCTATGAGCAACACCTAACACTGCTACCAGGGCCTCCACATGTGGCCATGCTGATTGTGCCTTGCAATACAAAGGGACATGATTCACAGTCTTGTCCACATGAGGTCTACTCCCTGGAGTCATACACTATGTGACTATTCATTTATGTGCCACAGTGCCCTGCTCCCATCATGCCCCTGCAGTTGGGCATCTTGAAAAATAGCTAAACTTCTCAATTCATCTAAATATGCTGTTCTATGTGTCATCTCCAACACTATATACACATAATTTAGTTTGGGGCATTACAACTTGGATTATTCCTACAAAAGCAATATTTGCATATTTTTAGAAGTCTGGAACACATAGGTACAATGTACAACTACATACAATTCAATCATCTATCATATAAAGGTATCATATTGATTCATAACGACTGGACTGCCATTAATTGCCAGTTGTGGGCTGTTCCTAAAGCCTTTAAGTTGTAACACCAAGTTTTGATCTCAACAGATCCCATAATCCCTACTCCCCCAAGTCTTATAGGCATTGTTGGATGGCCTGTCATCTATGCATTGAGGTACCAGGGTTAAATGTTGATCAACAGGAAATTGAAGAAGATAATTTATTGGCAACTTGCAAGCAATAGTGGGAGCAGAGAGAGATGTCTACAAATGTTTTACTTGTCACAATGCATACAGACATACTCAATCTTACTTGATCTTAATTATTTGATGAAAAAGTTATCATTCCATTTTTTTATATGTGAAAACTATACATAATGAGTTATTTACACAAATTGCTAAGTAATAAGTGGCTGACCAAGGACTTTTTTTTTTCAAGTTCTCTAATTCTAAACCTTGTGGTCCTCCTATGGTACTAGAAATTCTCTAAAATAGTTTGTTCTTTGTAAAATGCTTGACTAGATATTCATACATGTTGTGATAGTTCTGATTTTTACAAGAAGATAATTTAATCAAATTGAGACAGTCACAGTGTGTAAATTACCTGCCACTCTAAAAATATCATCAAAAATTGCCATTAAGTCCTTGAAAGAATAAGAAAAATATAGATTATTTCAGATATAATTCAAATGAAATATCAGAAACAATTACATAGGAAGTAATTATTCCCATTACCAAATATTTCTTCCTGTATAAAAAGATTCACTGTGGAACCCTTAAATAATACTCATTAAGTGAACTTTAATCTAATTTATTGACATTAAATTTCTACAAAATTCAGTAGAAATATAGGTTATTGCAGAGTGAAAAAAGAGAACAGGAAACAACAGAGAGTTACCTATTCTGACTATAGCTCTTTTGTAATGTGGGATAAGTGTGACTTTATTATATAATTCTTTAGTTATAAAGTATTTTTAAAAGGCAAATTGTTGTTAGCTTTTAAGAAAACTGAGATTTAATTAATTTCAATAAATGTTTATTAGGTGCAACCATATTCACAGCACCTCTGTAGGAGCTGGAGACATACATAATAACCCATGGCCCCTGGTCTTCAGTGAAAGCAGCCAACAGGCACTTGTATAGCAAATGCTGCCCTAGAACAATAATATGTACCAGAGGAACTGGGCAGAAGAGTTTACCCAAACTTAAGCTTCAAGGGGCACATAGATCTAAGTGAACATAAAGTCTCTGAATCTTAAAGGATGACCAAAACCCACATTTCAGTTTAAAGATATTGCTACTTTTATTTAACCATTTTTAAGGTCCTATTTGATAAGCTCAATTTTGTACATATGAGTTCTTAGCAATAATTATATGTAACAATGTGTGGATTTATGATCAATGGAGCATACATTATGATTCAATAAATAGCTCCCATATTCTCCACTAAAAAAAAAAATAGAGAAACACAACAGAGTAATGAAGAGTGCTAGCTAGCATTGGTACTACGGATAGAAGTCAGTGTAGAGGGTGGTGGATTGATGTGTGTTCTAAATGCACTCTTGAAGCAAACCCAGAATAGAAAAATTTACTCACCAGTCACAGCAGCCCTGGCCTTCTCACCAGCCTTTGCCTCCCTCCCTAGGGCAGAGAAGGGAGAAGTGGCCAAGAGTGATTTGTATAGTCAGCAAAGCTAGAGAGGAAGGCTGCATCCCATCCCAGCTAAGCAAAGGAGTTTATTGTGCAAGTAAGTTACTTCGCCTTTCCAGGGGAAGGGGAAGGAAACCAGAGTGGGACCAGAGTGTTGAGAGAACATTCTCTGCCTCATGGAAGCAGCAGTGTGGAACATGTGGTCCATCTTTAATATCCCACAAGATGATTCTGATTGCTGGGGAAGACACAGATGTTTATATTTTGATTATAGTTTTTCTTTTACAAATTCCACATCCCTATACATTTTTTTGAGAATGGTGGATTTTTCTAAAAGTCTTCAATTTTCTCTTATATCCTTATAAAATCTAAATCAACAGTATGATAATAGATAAAAGTACAAGAATTTTAGTCATTAATAACCTGTTTTATTTACATACATAACCTCTGAACTCCTCACGTACCTTTTAGTATTTGTAGGGGATGGGGGGAGGGTTGGTAGTGCCAGGGATTAAACCCAGAGGTGCTTAACCATTGAGCCACATCCCCAACCCTTTTATGTTTTTTTTAAATTTTATTTTATTTTGCTTTTATTTTGAGACAGGGCCTTGCTAAGTTGCAGAGGCTGGCTTTGAACTTGCCATCCTCCTGCTTCTGCCTCCCAAGCCTCTGGGATTGATTATAGGTGTGTGTCACAGTGTCTGGCCATTTTTAAAAACATTTTTATGGGCACATATTAATTATACAGAATAGAGGGCTTCTTTGTAGCATATTTATGCATAATATAACAATTTAGCCAATGCTATTCCCCAATAACTCACCTTCCCGACTCCTCCCCACTCCTCCTGCTCTCCTTCCTCTACCCTAATGGTTTTCCTTCTCCATTTGTGACATTCCCTTTTTTTCTTTCATTTAAAATAGTCTGCTACCCTTACTCAGCAGGGGTTGCTCGAGTATACAGTAGTGAGGGTTTTTATTCATTGATTATTATACTTAAAACCAAAAGGCAAAAAAGAGAATGAAAATACATGAGATAGGAAAAAAATGGCAAAAGAAAAATTGGCATGGTGGAATTCTAGAAAAATTAAGACTTAATTTCTTAAAATTAAGTCTTTCCTTTCTGTAAGGGCACAGGTATACTTCTCTTCAGAGTGAATGCTCAAAAGCAACTGAAGTTATCACTTTTAATAAGGAAAACATACATCATGCTATTTTCCACCAGAGGGTATATTTTTGGAGTTAAAAACAGTGGTCCCATTGTGGTGCATTATGGCTATCCTACAGGTTTTCAAGTCAAGGTTCTTCTTGAAGATTTTCCTACTCTGTGAATTATTATCATTTTCTTCTGTGGCTTGCCAATATGGGAGGCATTCTGGCAGGAGAAATAACCTTGCTGGCCTTGAAAATGTGAAGTTGTAATTAGTGGAGAACAGTGACAACTCGTGCCACCTGGAAAATGTTTAAAATTCCTTCCTAATGAGATGACTGTTACTTCCCTGCAATCATCCTTTCCAGGGTTCCCAATCACCCCACGCTATTTTTAGATTCATTTGAATTGGCTAATTATGAGGGTTTGCATGAATTATGCCTAGTAATTCTGTTGTCCAAGGGGGCCCTGCCATGTCAGAATTATTATCTTGGGATTCTATAATAGCTGAGCAAGCAAAGGCTAGAAATGGTTGAAGTGACACCCCACACTACACAAAATTATTGGAAAAATGTCTTATCTTAAAATCAGGTCTTGATTAGTAGTGTTCTTCTAGAAGAAGAAAATGAGGGGGGAGTGGGTTGTGTCACAAGCAAACACCTGACACAGAATGTGTTCTGCCAACCTCAGATTTCCTGAGATCATTTTTTAATGGAGGGAATAAATAGATAACCAACAACATATTGAAGAAAAGGGGCTAGATTTGAAAGAATTTTGCTAGTAATCCTGACATTCAGAGTAAGGTGAAGATGATTAAAAATGTTAAAGTCAATTAAAAGGATTTTTAAATTACCCTGGGAACACAATGACTAAAATAGCATGACAGAAATATATCTTGGTAAAGAATGACAAAAACCACCTGGAACAATTCAACTTGTTCTGGAGAATGAAGCATTTTCTGGAGAGTACCTTGCACTTTTAAATGAGTCAAAGTATTGTTTTGGAAGGCCAGCATCCCAGAATTCTCTGAAAACTGAAGATCAACTTCCTCCTCGTCCCTTCTTTGTGAACTCTGAGCAATGCTAGAGACCAAGAGAAACACTAAAATAGAATAGGGAGTTTTGATTTTTCAAGGTTGGAGCAGATTCCATAGTCTAGTGAGCTCAAGCTTAACATGGACTAAATTGTTATAGGGATGATTTGTGAGCTTCTATAAGAGGCATATTTGAAGGGCTTCAATGTAGCATTCCTAATAGTCACCCAAAGTAGAAGGTGCTAATACAGGAGACACTAACTTTTCCATGATTGGATATACTCCTTCTAAGCTAAATATTCACATGACACGATATAAAAAGATAGTCATTAAACTTACCACAATAAAAGCAGTCCTCTTGATACTTTGTTTTTATAACATTCAGGATTCAGTCAAGAGGATTAAGTCACACCACTTATTTTAACAGAAACAATTTAATTTTTTTTTTAAAGTGTCAATTAGGAATAAAATTCTGGCCAGGCATGGGGCATACCTGTAACCCCTGCTAGTTAGGAGGCTGAGGCAAGAGGGTTGCCAGTTGGAGTTCAGCCTGGGCAACCTAGCAAGACTCTGTCTCTAAGAAATAAAAAGAAGCCAGGTGCAGTGGCACACACTGTGGTCCCAGCAAATCAGGAGGCTGAGGCAGGAGGACTGAGGCCAGTCTTAGCAGCTTAGTGAGATCCTGTCTCAAAATTTAAAATAAAATAAAATAAAAATAAAAAGGGCTGGAAATGTGGCTCAGTGGTAGAATGCCCCTTAGGTCAATCCCTAGTACTGCAGAAACTAAAACCAAAAGAAAAAATAAATTCTGAGCTAGTTCTGAATTCAGAATTCATTTGCTAGAGCTTCCATAACAGAGAATGCAGAAGACAGGCAGAGAATGCAGAAGACAAGATATTTGCTGGAGCTTCCATAACATTGTACCATAAAATCTATTGTCTCACAATAAATGACTAGTAGTTCTGGAAGCTAAGAGTCCCCGACCAAGGTGTCTGTAGTGTTTCTTCCTTTTGAGTTCTGAGAGTGAGATCACTTCCATGTCCCTCTCCCAGCTCCTAGTGGTTGGTTTTCTGCAATCTGCGATCTCCTTGGCAGGTAGATATATCACCCTGATCTCTGATTTCATCTTCACCTGGCCTGTCTGCACACCTGTCTCTGTGTCCACATTTCTACTTTTTATAATAGAATCATATCGGATTAGGACCAACTCTAATGACCTCGTCTCAACTAGATTATCTGCGAAGATCCTATTTACAAATTAGATTAACATTCACAGGTTCATCGGAGTAAGGCTTCATATAATAGGGGGACACAATTCAACTTATAATGCTCAGTAACCTCATAAGCAAAACATTTTCAGAGGTAGAAGAGCTACCACCTGGAGGGCTGGAAGAACAAAGGAAAGGGGTTGAACTTACCAGAACTCAGAATCTTGGAAAAAGGGCCCAAGGAGCCCAAACTCACCCACCTGAGGGTCCCATGTCCTGATATCTCTGGGCAGCTGGGGCAGGATGAAGCAGCTTCTGAAAACCTTGGCAGCACTGTGAACATTGAGAAAACTGCAAACTGTATTCAGCTGCTACTAAAAGAAAGAATTGTTCCTGCCAGAGTGAATAAGTGTCACAGGGCCACTGCTCCTAAGAGCTGCATGCTGAGTTCTCCTTTTTCTTTAGCTAGCACTCCCTATGAGCAGAGCCCAGCAGGGGGCAGCTGGCCAAGCAGAGAAGAGGCCTATGGAGTCCTGGCTCCAGCATCATAAAGCAAAGTAGGAAAAGGTGGGTTTGCAGCTGATCGACAGTAAATGGATTATTGGCACACTTTTTAATTGTATTGAGACAGAATCAGCAAATGATCCAGCGACAAATGGAGAAAATTTTCAAAGCCTGTGGTCCTCCAAACAAAGGACCCCAGATTGTCACAAACTTTTTAGATCTATGGAGTTACTGGTGTATAAGTGTTTGCCTTAATTTCCTTATCTATAAAATAGGTATGATAACAATAAGGACATGATGAGATAGTCACGATAAAAAAGGAAATCATTTAAAACAATGTCTGCTGTCAAAGAGTAGGTGACACAGACTGAGAGCTTGTGACTCAGTAAATGTTGGCTATTGTTTATTACTTCATTGCTAAATTAAATAGTCAAAAATTCAATTATTAACAACATAATTCAGGGTCTATCTCACCCTATTTAAGGAAGTAATGAAGCAAGAAAATATTCAGGTGTTTGCTTACTACCATTATAGCACCTGCAAGTAAGTGTGGACTTACTCAATTTTTTCATAAACTAAAATCAATTATCTCAGCCTTCTGTTAACACTTAGCATTTCATGGCTGATGATTGCTTTCAGAGCTTTACAAAATTTTGATGAAATAGTTTCTGACTGAAAAGGCCAGGATGACAAACAGGTTTCATTGTGACTATTACTAACAGGCAGTGGCCACTTGGAATGAGGAGCTGAAATATGTGGGGCAGAGTCCAGGATCAATCAGCAATCATTGTCAAATGCACAGGAGGGTGCCTTGGTGGCTCTCTGTTTCTCCCTTGGTTTTATGAACATAGGAATCCTGAGTTTGGCTTCCAGGATCAAAACTAAATTCAAGTTCTTGTTCTCTTTTCAAAGCTGAGGATGGAGGTAATGAATAAATACCTCAAATGGTTATTTTGAGGATTAAATGGAAAATTCCTACCATGTTGTTTTAGTCAACTTTTTCATCTCAGTGACCGTAAGACCCAACAAGGACAATGTAGAGGAGGAAAAGTTTATTTGGGGCTCATGGTTTCAGAGTTCTCAGTCCATAGATGGCTAACTCTCCACTGTTCTGAGCCCAAGTGAGGCAAAACACCATGGCAGAAGGGTGCAGAAGGGGAAGGCTGCTCAGCTCCAGGGACATAATATAAACCCCAGAGGCCTGACCCTAATAACCTACTTCCCCCAGTCATACTCTACCTGCCTACAGTTATCACACAATTAATCCATATCAATGGAGGAAGTCACTAATTATGGCACAACTCTCATAATCTAATCATAGTACCTCTAAACGTTCTTTCATTGTCTCATACCTGAGCTTCTGGGGACATCACATATCCCACTCATAACACAATTCTATGGAACTCAGTAAGTGTAAGTTCTTTTCTCTCTGTGTAGTTTGACAATGATGCATGCTGACCTTACAACTGTATTCAGACTTGCCATATTTCATAATGTTGTTATGACTTGATCAGCTATGCAGAAGTGACCATTGTGAAATACAGTTTATTTTAAAATTTTTAATATAGTTAAAACTTATTCATATAGAGTAGGCTACATAGAGTCATTTCATTTATCCCCCCAAATTTAAATTGAACTATTTTGGGTGAATGAGTGCATTGGGATGAAGTTTGGCCTCTCTACCCGTACAATTACTTCAGCATCTACAGAAAACACAGATTAAATGTGATGCATTTGATTCCTCCGCCTTTTGTTGAATTAGGGAAGAAATGTTTTCAGTTGCCTGAAAAACAAAAGAAACAGTTTCATGGATAAAAATAAGTAGCTTTCACAGGCTGAGACTCTGTTAGAAAAGGCTATTTTGTTCACTAGTGAAAAGGTCAGTGTCCGTGGTCATTTTGCCAAAGGGCTCCATGCAGTTCTGTCAAGTAGCTGCTCCAGATGATTCATTCCCCTCCCCTGGGTTTTTCTAATATATTTTCTCAAAGACCTCCCTACCAGAAAGTAAGTTCAATTCATATTTTTAAGAAAGAATCTGGTGAATATATGAATATATTTTGGATACAATTCTTGGATCTTCAGTTTTCTGTTTTCGACTTCATTGTTTAAAAGGGCAGCACCACCTGGTGGCTGAATACAATCATTGGAATGTTATTGCCTCCTAAAAATGGGAAAAATATAGATTCAGCAGCAGAAAAACATCCAATTATTTTCTACATTAAACTGAGATTAATCATTGCAAGTTTATGCTTTTTGGTTTCCTTCTTTTAATTATGTCTAGTTTTAAAAATACACAAACTCATAAACCATAAGAATTTTTATCCTTTGCCAAGTGTACTCCTTTTCTTTAGCATCCTTTAATTTTTATTGAGAAGGTCACTCACATATAATTTTAATATTGTAATCTTTAAAAATTAAATTGAAAGAACTTTTGAGAAATTCCTTTTTGTGAGGCAGTTTAATTCACTCACTAAAGTTATCTTACTGCACTTTTCTTCTCAAGTAGTCTCATTTGTAAGGAACTATAGTCCAGGCACTTACTTTAAAAATAAATTTACTCATAAAAACACCATCAGAATTAATAATAGCTATTTGGAGAAAGACATGTAATTGTTACACTGTAATTATGATTTTTAGACCCAATAGTGAGCTTCAAACGAGGCATTTGATTCAAAATGCAATGCTGCTGCCCTCTTGTGGTGGAAAAGCAGAGTTCCCTCTGGAAACAACAGCCTCCAAAGAAATAATAATTTGATACATGACAGAGAAAGCCAAGTAAGAGCAATTAACTTCTTTTAATTTCTTATTTGGTGAACACTTAGCAATAAAAATCCCTTCTTCCATAACTTTTAGGATCCTTCACCAGTTCCATGAAATATTCTTTTGCAAATGCAAAGTCTAACACCTTTCAACTAAAACCAGTATGATTAGTTTATTTCCCAGTGTCCTAATGTTCGGTGAAGAATAAACTACTGTCAACTAATCGAATTCAAAGAAGAAGAAAAAAAATAAATTCTCCTTCACTGTGCTTCTGGTTTAGCCTGGGATGCGTTCAGGAGACTTTTCCAAGGTGCAGAACATGCATTTACCTTGCTGAAACACTTTGGCCCTTGCAATTGTGACACTGAATGAAAAACAAGCTTTAGAGACACATTCCAAATGGAGGAGCCAAGCTTTTCCTGGGCACATTGGCTCTGCTGCTCTGCTGCTAGAAATGAATGGCGCTTTTCAGATTTCTCCATATGAACAGAACTAATTCTCTAAGAGCTGCTCATGGCTCTGTGTTTACATCTCTCACCTTGAATTGTGAGTGTTATCCTGGATTAAAGGAAAACAAGAAGGAAACAAAGGGATGATTCTGTCTTTGCATTAAATTCCAGGCACTATAGGACGGGAGTTTAATTCACCAGCTCTGTCTGAGTTTCCTGTGGCCACCTCTTCTGTACAACACTCCACATGCACTTGCATTAACTAAATGGGATTTGGTTATTGTTGAGGAGAAAGAAATAAAGCAATCAATTATATCCTGCCTTCATTTAATTAGCTCCAGAGAAAGTAAGCAGAGACAACAGCAAAAATGGTGGTTGGTTTAGGGGTTTGGGGCACCACTTTGACTCCTAGCCTGGCATTTCTGAGCCTCCCCTCACCTTGAGGTGAACTGTTGTCTCCTTGTGGATCAGCAGCTTTTAGCAGGGGGCTTTACCCAAGTGGTTTTCTTGGATTGGTGGACATTTCCTTTCTCTCCTTCTTATTTTTTCCTGAACAGATGTCTGAGGTTTGTCTATAATGTCTGCACGAGAAAGCCATAACAGAAGCAGAGATGGGTTAGAGCAATATGTTCAGTATCTTCTTACAAGACCTCACAGACCATGCCTTTATGTTTCACTTGAAAATGGTATCTGCAAGGGCAGGGAGTTCTGAGTTCTGCCTCAGACCCAGACTTTAGGGATCCCCAGACTTCCCAGAATTCTCCCAAGGACCTTTCCAGAAGGGCTCTTGTAGACCTCATGGGAGAGAAAGTGAGACTCAGACACTGTTCAGCCTGTCTTCTTCTGGGAGTCTTCCTCTACCACACTCCCATGTTACGTAGGCCAAGCTAAAGCCACACTTGTCGGTCAGGTAAGGGCTCTTCAGAAACTCACCTCTTCTCCATTCCTACAACCCCTGTTATATGGATGGGCAAGAGATTTTTAAACTGCATGAAAGATTAAAGTTTTAACATTGGAACAGATTATATTTTAAAATTTTTGGAAATACATTTAGTCTTAAGGAAATGCTACCAAAATACTACAAAAGTTTCCATAAAAATCTCATCCCCCCAAAAAATGAATAAACACAAACACACAAACTTCTACCCAGCTTGCCCTCATGTTAACATAGTTTGTAACTGCACTACAATTACACTAATAAATTTACATTTGTAAAATATTACTACCTGAACTAAAATATCAATACCTCAGTGGTAGCGTGCAGTACAATGCCACCAGTTATTCCACTTTTGTTGTGATGGTTGTTCCAGGATTCGATGCATATGGAGTTTAGTTTTCAATCATCCTTGGTCTCCTCTAATCAGTTTCTGTTCCTTATTTCTTTCTCATCCTTCATGACCATGATATTTTGAAATAGTTCTGGCCAGTTACTTTGTGGAATATCTCTGTTTGAATTTGCACATATTTTCTTGGGATTACATTGGGAACATGTAAGAACACCACAGAACTGAAATCCTCTTTTCATTGGCAAATATCAAGGGGTATATGATATGGATGTCTTCTTATTGGTGGTGATTATAATTTGGTTAAGGCACTGCTTATGGGGTTTGCTAACTATAAATGTTATTGTTCACTTGATAATTAATAAATATATTGGGGTAGGGCCCTAGATGTTGTGCAAATAT